AATAAAAATAATAATAATAATAATAATAACAAACACAGAGAAGAAACATTAAAGTCAGTGTTCCTCCATCACTGTCTCCAGCTCATCTGTGATTCAGGGCCAGCATATGTCACACATTATTCTCGGATTTCTTTTGAACTTTCTTACAGATTCGCTCCTATTACACAATTCAGCAGTCGAATGACTGTCAAAACAAATATATAAATGCTATTCTTCATCATACATGTCAAAAACACACAGCCCCATTAGCTTTAGCGTTCATATGTCGCTGTGTCTGTTTCACGTGTCTGTGGCAAAACACAAAGAGCTCATTCTACACTCATTTCTAAAAAGCAATACCAGGCACAGAAAACACCTCTGTAGCGCAAACCATTAAAAATGAACATGTTAATGTTTATATTTCATACCTGTTCCGAGAATGACAACATCAAATTGAGATGGGAGAGTCTCCGCAGCCATCTTGAAACTACACACTGTCACGTGACACGCTATAGCGTGACGTACACTTTTTAGTACCTAAAACATACAGATTTAAACACACAGTAGCCAAAATGTACACAACATATTTTCAGAATACTGGAATCCTCCATATTTTAAAAGAAAGAAGAAGAAAAGAAACCTTAAAAATTATTCAGTCTTTTGTTGACATTTTCCACACGTCTCATATTCTTTGATTTCGCCTCCTGTTTATCGAAATTGGCTTAAAACCCTGTCTGTTTTTTTAATGGATATTAACTAGAAATATGATGAAGACGCCATTCATGAATATTATGCAGTTAAAGTGTTTTGATATTAATGTAACATTTACATGCAAGTATATTAAACATAAACATAGGCATACATAGAAACGGCAAGTGTCAACGATTTTAAATTTAATTTCACACAACATGACTTCATGTAATGTTCCAAAATGATTTTTTTTCTCTGTATAACGTACACTACTTTGCAAAAGCCTTAAACCAATATTTTCACCAAAAAAAAAAAAAAACCTTTTTAAAGGGGTCCTATTATGCTTTTTCAGTTTTTCAACTTTAGTTAGTCTGTAATGTTGCTGTTTGAGCATAAAAAAGATCTGCAAAGTTACAAAGCTCAAAGTCCACTTCAAAAGGAGATATTTTATTTAACAGAAATCACTTTTCAAAAACTACAGCGAACGACTCGTTTGGACTACAACGCAAATTTTCCCGGGATTTGTGATATCACAAATATCGACGAATGGGATGAGACCTGGTTGAGCTGCACTAGAGAAAGCAACGAGTGTTGTCACTATGTCGGAGACACGCTAGCTTTCCCAAGCCAGACAAACTTAGAGTGGTTACAATCATCCGGGTTTAAATCGCGCTCAAATTGATTTGATTTTGACGCAATATTTACACTGAAACTTGCACCCCAACCAGGCGCCGAGTGGTGCCAATCACAACACACACTGGCCTTGCTAACCAATCACAGCACATTTCGTCTTTCAGCAGGCGGGCCTTCATTTGATACAGGAACTATTCGTTCATGCCAGACTGGGGAGAGAGGTGTTGTAATAATGTCAAATATGTGAAAAATAATGTGTTTTTCGAACAACCTAGTATGACAGCCTGTTCTAGTACACCCCCAAAACAAAATCAAGACTTTGTAAAAGAGCATAATAGGACCCCTTTAAGAACATGCACAACCAATACACTGATGCAGTATATGACATAGGCAAGAAATTCAGAGCCCCTTAATCATAAAAAAAGTCACATTTGTGATCCATATAAATACTACAGGTAAAAAGTAATGGATCTCCACTGACTACATTTGATTGGACCACTCGACACAGATGTTAACACCATGTGTAAAGGGTTAAGAATTGGTAGAAAAATTCTCACCTTACGAGCAAACAGCAGGTCACCTTCAGTTCCTCCATTCTTCCCTTGCTCACTCTCTGAGTTACTCCATCCCAATACAGATGAAGATGACGAGGAGAGAGACAGATATGATGAGATGGATGAAGACGTTGACCTAGCATGACTGTTGTCCTGTGACCTCTCAGGGTCACTAGACACAATGAACCCATCACATGCCCACTGAGATCCAGGATGCTCCTGCTCCCTGTTCACACTGTGAACATTTCTGTTAGAGAGACCTGACTGAGTCAAATGGATTCCATGGGGCTTGTCCCTGTCCTCCAACAGGAAACCATCGGTTTCATCATCACTGAACATGAAATTGTTGTTGGAGCTTAGTGAATCCTGTGATGGCTGAGAGGAAATAGATTCTGTGGACTGCATGACTGTGGGAAAGAGAGATAGAAAAAAGAGGGAAATACCCTTAAAAGTCAAAGTTTTAAAATAAAAATGTATGTGTAAAAGGAATGCAAAGAAGAGAGAGAAGACAGAGACATGCATTAAAAAAAAACATAGTAGGCTGACTAGAGGGTATTTAACAAAATGTGCAAACTTCGGAAATAGTCGGAGACCACTAGATGCTTATGTATTGCATTTCATATATATTTTTTAATTCCAAATTTTTTGATGAGCATACAAATTTAAGTTAAATTAAATTTACATGAATGTCAGAATGTATGCATGTCTACATGCACTATTGGTACACTTTGTGCTAAAAGAAATCTGACCTTCAATGGGCAATGCCACAAATTTGCAATAAAAATTGTAATATGTCTTATTCATTTATCAGTTCTTTATGTTACACTTTTTTAAATGCTAAAATGTTCTGTTTATTTCCAGGTTCAAATTAGATCTGAAATACATTTCCATTATAATCTCTAAGATCATATTGCATATTCAAAAACCATATTTCAAATCAATTTAAATAAACCAAATTTCAGTTTTAAAATGTATTTCATTAGGAGGGTTTCAATAACAGGAGCAATATGAACAATCAACAACACAATAGGAAGCACAATGGTTTTTCCATTATTAAAGACTGAATTTAGATAAAAGTTTCCCATTCAAAATTTATGAATACAAATGGAAATGAAATGACTTTCCAATAATTAATCCACAATGACCTTAATAAATTCCTGAGGTCAAATAAAATCAACAAAATGCCAAAACTTGAAAAAATTAATGTGAATCAAACCACTGAAGTTAGGTTTTCCATAATAATATTATTATTTTTTAAGTAAACCTATGATGAAGATGTCTGCATTTATTTGATAAAAAGCACAGCAAAAACAGTAATACTGTGAAATATATAACAATTTAAAATAGTTGTTCTATTTTAATATATTTTAAACTGTAATTTATTCACGTGATTTCTTTATTTTACACTTTTTTGAAATTCTTCCAAGGTTCAGATTACATTTAAAATCTCAGATTTTCATCGTAGTCTTTCAGACCCTACTGCATATTGAAAAAGAAACCCTATTTCAATCAAATCAAATACACCCAATTTCATTATTAAATTTATTTCATCCATACTGTTTTGTCTGATCCAGTACAGAGTACATGGTGTCTGTCTAGACCCTCTGAGATCACAGAAAAGAGAGGAGCATGCATGCCTGTGCAAAAGTGTGTAAGTGTGTGCATGATTCGGTTGTGTAAGTGTGTATCGCCTAGAGCAGGAAAATAGGGGGAGGGGGTGCAGCAGGATGCTTTAACACTAGTGGTTAAAGAAGGCAGCTAGGGTCTCTCTACTTCTTCATTTTCTCTCTCCTCTCCCTCTGGCAAATACACACACACACACACACACAAGGACAGGGTAGAGGCAGCAGCATAACACAAACACACTCACTTTTGACTGCCTCATGTGCCTTTCCCCTCCCCCAACCATTTTTAATGTCTGTCTCTTTCTCTTCAAGTGTGCCTCTATTCATCGCAACCCATATTAAAAACAAAGTATATCTCTTTCCTCCTGTCTTCCTCCAATCCATTTCACTGTCTACTCTTCACATTCAGTATGTAACTCTCTCTCTCTGCTGCTCAGACATTAAGCAGCAATGAAAATGACAGTTGTGATTTGGGTCACTTAAGCCTTTGGTTGTATTGTTCTGTATATATACACACTACACATAAACATACATATACAGTTCCCCTAATTGCAGTTATATATATATATATATATATATATATACATATTCTTATATTTTAAATGTAACTGCACACACATACATAGATTGCACAGACAGTTACACTCACATATGCCGAGTTGCAGGAACAGGATACATACATGAACACTGTATCAAATAACAGCTTACCAATGTCAAAGTGAGCAATCTAAATTCTATTCACTACTATCCCTGCTTGGTATGCACCCTAACAACGAATTTTTTAATTATAATAAAAGATTACTATAAAAAAAACATACCTCAACTTCAGGGCACCTGTGCAAGCAACGCAAACCCTTTCCGACGATCCCGTCTACTGTACCCCACAGATCAGCTCCCTTTCTGGGCTCACTCTCTCTCCTCACTTTCCGAGTGTCAACATGTGCATGGACACACGTGCCCAATTTAGTGCCATCCACGCACAGCCTCTCTTTGGCCGCTGCAGTCAGATAGTAACAGTCTTATTGGCTTACGATCTAGCCAGTAATTGTTCCGCTCTTCTGCGACTGGCCAGTCGATGACTCGTAGCTCCGCCCATGCGTGTGGTATTTGTGTTGGCATGGGCGCAGCGGAGCAGAAGTGTAAACACGCGCAGGTCGAAAAGATACAGTACGCTCAGCTTGTGTGTGTGCGTAATGTACATAGGGCGCATTCACTCTTGTAATGGGAAAGGAGCAAGATCATTACGCAAGGCAATCATACAATCATAACTTCATTCTCACTATCTCACTATCACGTGGTAAGCGTCCACTGAAAGAGCTAATCTACTGTACAGACTCCATGTAAGACAAGTCAACTGACACACGTGAACCTCTGTCTTTAGTCTCACCTGAACAACATTAAAACATATGAACAAGCTTTCGTCAAGGTTAGCACTACATTTGTAGAGGTCTTATAGCTGATTTTTTGTTTTGCATTTTAATGAATTAAAAAATTATAAAAATGAATGACGTTTTCTTTGTTCAACATATTCTTTAAAACATTTTCCGCACCTATGCTGGTTTTTAGCAGCCATGTCTCGATATGTTAGGGCATAAAGTATACATTCAGTATGAACAGTATGAGAGTCTCAAACAGGCCCATGTCTCAAACATGGACTATTAATTAGGGAACAGAAAGTGCACTATGAGCAAAGCTGTCATGCTGTTCTCATAGGTGTATGAAGTAATAACCTTAATCTTAACGTTAACCTTTACATACTTCTTTTTTTTTTTTTTTTTTTTTACATTTAAATACTTCAATTAGAAGATTACAGACATTTCTCTTGAGGGTTTGGTCTTATTCTGGGTTCGTTCAAAAACAGAAGGTCTTTTTTACAGCTCTTCCATTGTGTAATCAATAAACACATACATATTACAGAATATACTCCAGAAGAATGGGCCTGCCCTGTATCCCTTTAAGAGCAACATGCACATGGACGTGAACTGCAGCCTGAGAGATTTGTGAATGAAATCCATAGCCACGCCTCTAATACGGAATAGGCCAATGAAAATTAGGATAACCATTCTAACACGCCCTACTCGCTAATGATTGACCAATGGCGAAAGCTTCATGGATAAGGAGCGTTGCGTAAGACTGTGCAACGGCTTCACGTTGACACAGATCACTACGCTGTTAAATTTAGATAGGAGGAACGGATTGGAGTACCGAAACTGAAACGTTAAATTAATTTTTTTTTTTTTAATAACTGAGCCGTTAAATCTAAAATGTGGCGAGAGCAAATGACATCGTGGCATGAAAATACACATGAAAAAAGTCTCACAAGAGGGTACTGCTGCATTACATTTACTACAGAGGAGCACATTAGAATTATGAGGAACTATTTCCAGTGGAAATAAAGGGAATCCAAAGCAAACAGAGATTAATTAAGATTAATTAATTATTGGTCAATTAATTTAATATAAAAAGCCAGAAATTCGTTTAATAATTCCTATAATATTAAATAAATCTTAATAAATATTTCTTAAATAAATCAGAGGGCCAAAACACGTGCATACACATGTGCATACAGGTAGCCTGTATAAGATCACAATCACAATAACAATAACAGTAAACACAAAGACAGCACAGGAGAACTATATCTATTTATAAAATTTAGATATCATATTTCAAAAGCTGACGTTTAACATTTAAATACAAAGACGAGGTTGTAGAAATTATAGGATGGAAATTACTGCCCTCCAGCGTTTGAAAAATGAAGCGCAATAAGGCGTTCAATGAGGTCATTGAACTCTGGGCTTAAAAACAGACGTTTTAAACTTTGTAGAAATATTATTTTCATATTCAACACAAAATGTATTTACTTTTTAGGACGCATTTAATCCAGTTACATTTTATTCCACTTGGGAAATTCAAATATCCAAATGGCATGTCCCTGTTAATTCAGTTGTTTCAATCAGTGTCAGGGGCGCCGTAACGGGGCGATTAGGACGATTCCAAGGGCAAGGCGAGGCAGAGGGGGCCTGGGACGCATTTTTTTTAACGAGAGGGAATGCGATCGTGATCGGCGGCCGGGTCAATGATGTTCAGGGGGCCGGGAAACCATAGCGGGGCCCCTGATCAGTGTATACGTGACTCATCTTTCATTACCATATCATTGTTTTGTTTTTATAATAGCATACATACTTTTTTTTATTAATTACTATGAATTTTTAACAGCACAGAGAAATAGTTACACATGCTAAATTTGTCAAATAGCAATTGTAGTTTGCAATAGATGAGCTACATCAATTCTGCGCTTTCTGTCCTCTCTGGTCTCCCTCTCACGGTCTCTATTCATTCTCTTTATTATCACCTCAGTACCCCTTCAGTCAGGCTTTCCCTGCTCCCCCTCAGTCCTCCCCCCTCAGCTAGTTGTGTCATACACATTTTTCAGTGTCCAGCAGCAAGTGATTTTCTCGTTCACTTGTCCTTTTCTCCTTTCAGTTCTCTCTGTTTCTCTCTCTTTCTTCTGTGACATGTGATGGCCTCTCTCTTCCACAATTCAGCTCACTGGACCAAATCACTCAAATCCAGAAAAGGAACACAAATAATTCTTTCTTTGTGAACATTTTTGGATACATTTTTCAAGTTGTTCTGCTACAGACCTGTTAAGATTTTCCCACCATTTTTCTAGTGTACTGGTGTGTCTATAGTTTTCTTATTGTATGAGTGTGTGGAGAGGAGAGTGAAAGAATGGACCTTGTCTGGATAACAGTGGCTTTTTTTCTCTTTTACAGGTGTTTGGAGTGCTCAGGAACTGGTAAGACTTTGATTATCTATGTAATATTAATGAAGTGACCTGTTGTAACAACGTTTTGGTGATCACTGCTACTGAACACAGATGAAAATACTTATTTGCTTTTTGATGCGTCAGTAACTTTGAATTGTTATATAATTAAACTATCCTAATGTGCTAGTCACTGATGGTCTTTTTTGTAAGTCTTAATAATTAGGTTGCAATTTAATTGTTCCCTGAAATACACAGGGAATCTGTTTTAACTTTTGTGTGTTCTTCCTTTTTTTTAAGCTAAAGAATGGACATATGCAGGTAACACAGTTTTTAAATTTTTCCCACTCTCTGTGATTTTGTCACAGATTTGGTGTAATGTTGTGATTAGATTATCACAGATAACCTGCATAATAGTATATACGTTTAAATTGCTTTGGTTCAAAGCTTCTGTTGATTTCTGGAAAGGAACATTTCCATATTTTCATCAAACTTACCTTTTTTGTCCCTCAGATTCATTTTCTGTTCAAACTGTGTTACTTCCAGTTCATCTCTTCAATAGTTGCATTGCATAGTCACATGGACTTTAAGAGTGAAATAGAAAAGAGAGAGCAGGTGTCAGCAGGTGCAATAGGTTGCATATAGTAGTACATAGTACAGAGCTTAAAATTAGTGTTTCCATTTGATAAAAAAATAATGTCATGATAAAGAATTGGGAGACTGCTCTGCTTGGCGCACAAGCACTGCAATTCACACACACAAACACAGCTTTACATGCTTCAGTGTGTTAATTGTACAGTGATGGTTCAGTCAATATTGCTTTAGCATGTGATCAGACTCTAATAAACCTGTGTGAGTGGATTTTAAACAAGAATAGCCTACTTCACAAAATTCCATACACCCACACAAATGCCACAATTTCAAGTATCTTCTGAGCAAAGGCTTATTTATTGATTGAATGCAATAAAGTTCAAATACAAAATGTATTATTTTTCTGCAAAGGAATACCATTTGGGAGAAACCATTATGATCTTGTGACATTCTTGGCATAATAAGGCCTCTGGAAAAGCTTGTTCAGCTGTATTTGCAATGCATGTGCTAAACTGTTAGGCTATATAACGTGATCTCATGAGAATTCCTATGTATTTTACGTAAATGTGGTTCTACAAAACATACATTTACTTACGTTTTCATAGGCACTAAAACGTACAATACTAACATATTTACAGCATTTTAACGTATAATTTATTTAAATTTTTTTTTTTTTAGCATTTTTAGCATTTAACGTAAAATACTGACGTATTGACGACACCGAAACAAAAATTATTTAGCCTATATGAACAACTTTACAGACGTATTGAATCCTTATGAATAACCTATTGAGATCGCGGCATTAACTTTTTATTATATTTAGTTGTCATATCAATGGCATTATGTTTTTAATTGTATTATTTATAGCTTACTCATAACATAGCCTAATGTTAAATAAGACTACACTTTAAACCCTTAAAATTAATAACATTTCTGCAATCGTTTAACCATCACTTAGGCTATCATGTAATATTTACTTTGTTTGTCCTGGGACACGAAAAGCGTTTTCTTTGAGAAGCTGTTACTGACAATAGAACCATAAAATACACCAAAAACGCAACTTCCACTTTATTCCACGACTGCGAGGAACAGAACCAAACTCAAGCCTTTATTTAGCGATCTTCGTCTCCAACTTGAGCAGCGAACGTAAGCAGCAATACCTGCGCTGACGCGCTCATTACAAATTCAAAAAATGCCGCTTCAAGAAGCTTTACAACCGTTTACTGCAGTAAAATCGAACGTTCATTGGCTCTCGCCTGCGTCAGGCCGTCTAATGGCGCTTTTCCACTGCATGGTACGGCACGGTACGGCTCGGTACGGTTCACTTTTGGGGGGTTTTCCACTGGGTACAGTACCTGGTACCTGGTACTTTTTTTAGTACCACCTCGGTTGGGGTTCCAAGCGTACCGTACCGTTACCAAAACGTGACGTGTAAACTCTGCTGATCACGGATTGGCCGGAGAGAATCGTCACTACCTGCGTCACTGAACTTGCGACACAAACACAAAAGAAGCGCTAGATTTAAATCAGCACAGCCAGCGAAGGATCAAACGCAGCCGTTTTGAACGAGTGCACCTTTTTTTAACAACCAAAAAGTGGCTGTTCCCCCTGTTGAGGAAGTACAGACGTTCCTCTCGTTGATAGCAGAGGAGCGGATCCAGCGAGAGCTTGATGGGGCGACGCAGAATGAAAAAGTTTTTTAGGAGTCGCGGCAATAGAGGCGGCGCAACTATAACGACATGTGAATAATCCCGCCCATTCTAAAGCGATACTAAACTGCAGTGGAAACGCAAACCGAGCCGAACCGAGCCGTGCCGTACCGTACCGAGCCGTACCGAGCCGAGTCGTACCACGCAGTTTCTGGTGAGGTGTGAATGAGAAAAGTGCGCCTTCATTTTCAGCATTAACAACTTAAATTCTGCTCTGCACCTCACACAAACCTACTGTATTCCACCAGAGAGGACTGCAGCTGCAATTCATTATCATTTGGACTGCTTTTGTTATTTTTTACAATAAATAAATTACTGTGATTGAACGTATCTTTTCGTATGTTTTTCTTTATACTGTACATATTTTTAAGTAATAGTTATGGCTAGGTTTAGAGGTAGAAGTGGGATTAAGGACTAAAAAAATAATGATTTTCTGTTCAAAAACCAATTATTATTATTATTATTATTATCATCATCATCATCATCATCATCATCAATATTTAAAATAGTTGGGTCAATTTTTTCAGGATTATTTGATGAATAGAAAGATCCAAAGATCAGCATTTATCTGAAATAAAAAGGTTTTGTAACATTATATATTGTGCCATTTAAAAGCTTGGAGTCAGTATATTTTATTTTATTTTATTGGGAATGAAATTATAGATATTAATACTTTTATTTAGCAAGGATGCTTTAAATTGATCAAAGGTTATGATAAAGACATTTATAATGTTACAAAAGATTTCTGTTTTAGATCCAATTCTACTCAGCTGTTTTCAACATAATAATAATAATAATAATAATAAATGTTTTTTTGAGCAGCAAATCAGAATATTAGAAGGATTTCTGAAGGATCATGTGACTGGAGTAATTATGCTAAATATTCAGCTTTGAAATAACAGGAATAAATTACATTTTTAAATGTATTCAGATAGAAAGCAGTTATTTTAAATAGTAAAAATATTTCACAATATTACTGCTTTTGCTGTATTTTGGATCAAATAAATGCAGGCTTGGTGAGCAGAAGACAGTTCTTTAAAAAAAACATAAAAATCTTACTGACTGGTAGGTTAAGGGGGTCTAAAAATCTAAATGCATTGATACAAATAGCTTAATGATATAAAAGATTTGTAAATATTTTACATTTTTTAGCTAAAAATACATAGCAATTTTTACGTTTTAAACGTTGCAATACATGCAAATTGTACATTTCAGTATTCAATTCGATTCAAGTTTATTTGTATAGCGCTTTTCATGATACAAATCTTTGCAAAGCAGCTTTACAGAAAATGTTATGTTTCTACATTATATTTAGGAGTAGGTTATTATTAGTGGTGACTATGGCAGAAATGTACAGTAAAAATCATGCAGTTAGTTACAAATTACATATTATCAAACAGACGGTGAATACTATTAACTGAAATGATTATATGTTGCGATTAAACTTTGCGATTGTGATTAAATATTGTGATTAAGCAAAATGTGGTAGTTTTATATGGTGTTCCAGGGTTAGCATCATCTGAGGTCTTCTGGGGGGTTGGTATCATCTCTTCTTAGGTGTTCGGTCATCTCAGATCTTCGTAAGGGTTGAATCCTGACTGAAGCTTGCGTAATTCCTAGTTGCCTCAGGATTCAAGTCCCGTGCCAGAAAGAGAGAAGCAAATGCAGACGAAATTAGCGTTGCTGCTGTTCCAACCAAGCAAAGATGATGTGTTCAACCCAAGCAAAAGAATGATAATGTGCATTTGATCAGATATAGCTGAAGTACAAAGTTATGAGATGCATTATGTGATTGCTTGGCTAAAAAGATGTGTCTTTAATCTAGATTTAAACAGAGAGAGTGTGTCTGAACCCCGAACGTTATCAGGAAGGCTATTCCAGAGTTTGGGAGCCAAATTTTAAAAGCCGAAAAAGCTCTACCTCCTTTAGTGGACTTTGCTATCCTAGGTACTACCAAGAGTCCAGAGTTTTGTGACCTTAGGGAGCGTGATGGATTGCAGCATGATAGAAGACTAGTTATGTACGCAGGAGCTAGACCGTTAAGGGCCTTAAAAGTAAGTAGTGATATTTTGTAACTGATGTGGAACTTAATAGGTAGCCAGTGCAGAGACTGTAAATTTGGGGTAATATAATCATATTTTCTTGACCTGGTAAGGACTCTAGCAGCTGCATTTTGGACTACCTGTAGCTTGTTTATTGAAGATGCAGGACAACCACCTAGCAGTGCATTACAATAGTCCAGTCTAGAGGTCATAAATGCATGAACTAGCTTGAACTATGCATCAGAAACAAGTAACGTTCCGTAGCTTGACAATGTTTCTAAGAAGAAAAAGTTTTTGTAACATGAGAAAAATGATTTTCAAAAGACAAGTTGCTGTCTAATATAACACCCAAATTTTTGACTGTAGAGGAAGTAAAAGTACACCCGTCTAGATGCAAATTGTAATCCAAGAGATTCTGTGTGCATGAACTAGCTTTTCTGCATCAGAAACAGGTAACATGTTTTGTAACTTGGCAATGTTTCTAAGATGGAAGAATGCTGTTTTTGTAATATGGGAAATATGATTTTCAAAAGACAAGTTGCTATCTGATATAACACCCAGATTTTTGACTGTAGAGGAAGTAACTGTACATCCGTCTAGTTGCAAATTGTAATCCACGAGATTCTGTGTACTGTCTTTTGGTCCAATAAGTAATATCTCTGTCTTATCCGAATTTAATAGGAGAAAATTATTGGTCATCCAATCTTTTACATTTTTAACACACTCTGTTAGCTTAGATCATTTAAAAGTTTCATCTGGTCTTGTAGAAATATATAGTTGAGTATCATCAGCATAACAATGGAAACTAATCTCGTATTTTCTAATAATATTACCAATGGGCAACATGCATATTGAAAATAGCAGAGGGCCTAGGAGAGATCCTTGTGGCACTCCATATTTCACTGCCGATAATTGAGATGATTCCCCATTTAAATAGACAAAGTGATAACGATCGGACAGGTAGGATCTAAACCATCTTAAAGCCTGCCCTTGAATACCTGTATAGTTTTGCATTCGATCTATGAGTATGTCATGATCTGTAGTGTCAAATGCAGAACTAAGATCAAGTAAAACTAGCAATGAGATGCAGCCTTGGTCTGACGCAAGAAGCAAGTCATTTGTAATTTTAACAAGTGCAGTTTCTGTGCTATGATGGGGCCTGAAACCTGAAGCCTGAAATTCTTCATAGATATCTTTTTTGTTTTGCAGGAAGGAGCACAATTGAGCTCACACAACTTTTTCTAAAATTTTAGACATAAACAGAAGATTTGAAATGGTCTGTAATTTGCCAGTTCACTAGGATCTAGTTAAGGTGTCTTAATAAGAGGCTTAATAACCGCCAGCTTCAATGGTTTTGGGACGTGACCTAGAGATAACGACAAGTTAATAATATTGAGAAGTGGTTCTTCTGCTACGGGTAACAACTGTTTCAGTAATTTAGTGGGTACAGGGTCTAATAAACATGTTGTTGGCTTAGATGCAGTGACAAGTTTATTTAGCTCTTCTCGTCCTGTAGTTGTAAAGCACTGCAGTTTTTCTTTGGGTGCGACGAATGAAACTGTATTACAAAATGATGTAGATCCTATATTTGTTATTGTATATCTGATGCTATCTATTTTATCAGTGAAGAAATTCATAAAGTCATTACTATTAAACTGTGAAGGAATATTTAGGGTGATGTCTGATTATTTGTTAATCTAAAACCTTGGATTGTTTTGGTTATTTTCTATTAGTTTGCAGATATGCTCAGCCTTGGCAGCTTTTTAAGCCTGTCTATAGCTGGACATAGTGTTTTTCCATGCAATTCTAAAAACTTCCAAGTTAGTTTTTCTCCATTTGCGCTCAAAATTACGAGTTTCTTTCTTGAGAGAATGGGTATTACTGTTGTACCATGGCGCAGTA